GGGAGCCGCCACGGCTGGAAGTGATGCTCCAGGGATGGCTAGCTGCCGCTGCTCGCCGGGCTTTCTTTGGGTGGTGGTATCCTGAGGGCAGAGCTGCTGGCAGGGCAGGACTGCTCCCTCCACTGCCGAGCACCAGAAAGGAGGTCCTGGGTCTGCAGGAAGGGGACAAGAGCGGAAGGAGAGAAGAAATTACAGCGGGAGGGGAAGGGAGAAGGTTAAACAAGGTGCAGGAGTCATGGCTATAGATGGCTACAGCAGATGTGGCTAATTTAGGAACTTGAGCTACATGCTCCTGCGCTGGTTGTGGTTCTTCATCCCTGGCTGGTTTGTGTCTGAAGCTGATCGCAGGGACAGCAAGTTAAACACAAAACCAAACTCAGCCCTGCTCTAAGGACAGTGCAGTTTATTGCAAAGCTCAGACCTTCAGAGGGCATCTCCGTAGATCCTGAAAGCCACGTTTGCATCAGCCCTTCCATCATCTCCAGGCTAAGGGCTGCACAAGAGTAACTTTTTGGTTAGGATTTGGATGGTTTACTTGTACTCTCACACATAGCTGAAAGGTTTTGTGTTATAGAAAAAAAATTACAGGTTAATTTTTTAGTAAAATCTGAATATCACAGTGTAAGGGTGAGTGTGCGTGTGGGTGCGCAGAGATGCCTGACTTGGGGTGGCTTTACGAGAGTGGGTGTAAATTATTGTGCGTAAATGGATGTTGGATTCTCGCAGAGGAGTTTTTGACTGGGACCATTTGCAGGTATGTGCTGGGAAAAGTGTCTGTGTGTATATGTGTACATGTGTGTGTACATGTGTGTTTGTGTAAGCATGCAAAGAGCCACATATGTTGGGGGGGGGCTCAGAGGGGCTGTGCAGACATTTCTATACATGCTTATGGGGTTCCTTGTGTTTCTCAGACAGTGCTTTTGCAAACGCACATCAAGGGCTCTGCCCCCCGCCAGTCTTTTAAAGCTGGACGTGGACTATTTCTTCCCAGTCACTGCCTGTCCGTATTCGTTTAGTTTCCATTTCTCAGTCGTATGGCTCATTACAAGCTTGTCAGGCCTGAGAGAGGTAATATGTTGTACATCTCTGCCTGGCTGTCTTCCCAGCCAGGTTGCCGTCTCTTCCAGCAGCAGCATTTCCCCACCTGAAGTTTGTTCCCCTTCCCCTGCTCCACCCCAGCCCCGGGAAGAAGATGCGCCTGCGGCAAGACCTGCCTTTCCCAGCCCTGCTCCCGGGGTGCCGGAGGCATCTGTGCGGGGCTGGGGCTCCCGTGCCGGAGCCCTG